TCTATGAAATGGGGCGGGAGGGAGAGGAGCTATCTGCTGAGAGTAGGGACTATGTCTGTGTGTGTGCACACATGTACACACATGCACATGTGTGTTCTTTCCCTCTAGCACCAGAAGCACTCAACAAGCTGGTTGTAGATAACTGAGAAGGCAGGCAGGTGCATTGATCCAGGATCAGCATTTTCCCGTGTAGGTTTGATGGAAGAATAGGGGGTCTTTGTAAAAAGTGTAACATCTGCTTGACTGCTCTCTGGCTGGCTTGTATTTTGTGCCCCCCAGCAAAACTATAACCTCTTTAGGGCAGGAACCATTTATAATTTGGATCCCTTTATAGCATTTAGAAAAGTGCAGGGTAGAGATTGGTTCTTACCTATTTGTTGACTTAATCTGACTTGTGATCAAGCGTATCTTGACTTGACATAGAAGAGGCTTTTCTCACCTGTGGTCTCATCTCCGAATCTGATATGGAGAATGCAGGATTCATTGGTTTGAGAGTGAACTCTAGGCTTAGCTTCACTTACTCTCCCCAGGGTACTTGAGGTTAGAAACATTTGTGCTTTCCATGAAGACTACAGGATATTCCCTATTCTCTTTGGACCAGGCTGTGAGGACTTGGGCTCTTCACAAAACTAGACAGAGTGGCTATTGTAGAAGATGCAGCCGCCTCCGCGTGTATTTGGCAGGCGGGCAGCGAGCGTGATGTATTTGTTCTCATGACTCAGAAACCTCCCCACCTTAACTTAACAGGTTCAGTATAATCACTGCCTTTCAGATCATGATAGTGTCCTTCAGAATTTATCTGACCTTTATATCTAAAACGAGTTTTAGTTACCCTTTCCTTTGTCCTCTACTTGCTTGGTTGTTTCATTCACCCTTAGTCCAGTGTAAAGGATATTTTCTAATGTATTGGGTCGAGTTCAGAATTGACTTAGGTCTTGCCCCTTTTGGCACACTGCAGCCTTTGGTTTTTAATTGGCATGTTCCCCTCAGTGTGGCTTGTTTTCTGCTCCTCATTTTGTAAATTTGGACTCTGTATCAGATAAATTTGACATGAGTCACTCCAGGGAGTGGAAGGTGTGTCTTCACTAATTTGGAGAATATTTGATCTTGTTTCAATCCCTGGTTTGGCTTATCTGGTACAGCTTCTCTCTGTCCTGTGAGAGGGGTGTGTGTACATACACTTGTGTGTCCCTTGCCTCCGGTTCCACATATTGCAGTGGATGGTCTACTCCAGGGCATGCCACTTTGCATGTATGGATCCCCTCTACTATCCTTGTCATCACTATCGGCAAACAAGCTTCTATTAAAAGCCTCTTTGAATGTAGTATAGTATCTAACACTGAATAAATAGAGTTCATAAGCCTAGGTAGGAGTTTACAATGTACAGTAGACATTACAAATGACAAAAACAGTAGTGAATCTGTAAGCTGTTGAACAAATAAGGGATAGTCACGCCTCATTTAGCTGTCATTTTCACAGTAGAAGCTATCCTGAAAAAGAGACTTAGTCCAGAGGAAGGGGGGATTGACAGCGACAAGATCATCGTTGTTCCAGAGAGCTGCCATCTTTGGCCCTTTGGCCAAGCAGTTTCTCTCTAACATCCTTCCTGGTCATGCAGACCTATTGCCATGTTCTCTTTCCTTATAGCCAGGACAGGATCCTACTGGGGCTTCTCTCTCTAGGGGTCTGTGGCTGAAGTGGTAGGCAGGGGGACTTGGAAGACTTGGGTTCTCTGGTACAATGTCTTTGTAACGGAAGAAATTTACCCCAGACCGACTGCAGACATGTGTGTATTCACAAACACCGACATGACCCATGAGGTCATTGTTGGGTTGGAAAGTTGGTCCGGCCTGGTCTGGGGCACCTCCCGGGGGTAAGAATGTAGGACCTCTCCCAGACTCTGTTGCTTACTAGTAGTTTCCCAAATGGAAAACAGAGACTAGTTTAGTTGGGGTGCTTTAAGAGCCTCATATCTCGCAGAGGTCTGGTTCATTGTTTTTGTTGATATTATTAATTAGTATAATAACAGTGTTCATGTAATACTGCCTTTATTAAAAAGAATGGGCATCTGCCAGGGCCTGGAATTTTCCTTCACCCTCCCTGTGGGAGCGGAAGATAGAGGGGGCATTAGATTCCCAGCTCTCAGGCCTCCTCTCTCTGATCGTCCTGTGGGTGGCTCCTAGGTAGGGGTGAGAGGGTGGAGGCCCTGACGTGACTGCCCTTGTGAAGGGGTAAGAGGCAGTGGTACAGGTGGTATTGTAGTAAGAGCAGGTAGGTGTGGGGACAGTATTAGGGGCTAATAAAGGCAGAACATGTTGCTGTCATTAACTGCTTCCCTTTGCCTTTGCGTAAATAAGTTGTCTAAGTGCAGAGCTGAAACCTCTGCATTTGTTTCTTCTCCTTTTCTTCATTACATTTTGTTTTCTTGTAAAAATGTATAATACCTTTAATAGGCTTGTGATATTATGGAAAATTAAATAAATAAAAGTTCCAAAGATTGGAAAGCTAAGTGGTGATTTGATTATGGTCTTTAAATATAGTAAGGGTTTTTCCTGCAATTCATCATAAACCAAAACTGCCTTGTAGCACTTCTTATGGTTTTTGTCAACTTTTTGCGTATATTTGTCTGAGCTTCCCAATCTAACTGTGGTCTTGTTGAGGGTGGTAGTGGTGTCAAATGATATGCACATGATATACTTCATGAATTAAACTACTTTGCAAATGTGTCAAACTTCTCTTGAAAATAGCCTGATTTGAACTGCTCAAGTAGAATTGCAGAAATTGTTTACTGACGGCCCCATGGAGCACTGGGGCTGTGGTAATGGAGAGAAGTCTCTAGGGCTTTGAATCAAAGGACAGTTCTGTGCTGGGTATAGTGCTATAAGCTGCCACTCAGTTATATTACATATAATTCCATTTCAGGCTTTCTTGTAACCCAGGCATCCAGGACATCTATAAGAAGGTGATGATAACACAGCCTGGTGCAGTGTGACCGCTTCTGTGTATGGAAGTGCTATGAAGCACAAAGACAGTGCATAAAATATAGGACAGGTAGGCAGGAGAGGAATGAACCCAATTGAAGCTAGCTGTTTCTGTAGTAAGTAGGCAAACCGTAATTACCTATGTTGCTCAGAGACCTGAGCTGAGAGTGGGGGTAGGGAGAGGTCACGCTCATTACCTTTGGAAACATGATGGGAGTAAATAACTCACTATTCAGAGTCACTTTGGTGATATGGACTTTGAGTTGGCTCCTAGTCACCCCAAGTCACCCAAGCTTAAGGTTAACATTTTCGTTAAGAGGTCCCCTTAGATACCACAGCCATTCACTTTGGTTGTCTACCTTAGAAAGGAGACTGGGGACTGAGCTGAGGTGACCCAGGAGGGAGGAGGGAGGATTAGTGAAAGTGCCAGAGAAACAAAGGCTTAATTAGAAGGTTTTTCTGGCTTGGGAGTTAAGGTTGTTTCCATTAGCTGATTGCTGAGGTGGGGGTGGAAACCCGGAGGAGCAGGGAGTGGTAATGGGAAACAGAATAGTTAGCACTTGGCTGTGATCCGGTGGTGTGAGGACCAGCAGCATCTGCAACACTTGGGAACTTTTTTTTTTTAAATATATATTTTTAAATATATATATATATATATATTTTTAAATATATTTTATTGATTTTTTACAGAGAGGAAGAGAGAGAGATAGAGAGTCAGAAACATCGATGAGAGAGAAACATCGATCAGCTGCCTCCTGCACATCTCCCACTGGGAATGTGCCCGCAACCCAGGTACATGCCCCTGACCGGAATCGAACCCGGGACCCTTCAGTCCGTAGGCCAACGCTCTATCCACTGAGCCAAACCGGTTTTGGCGGGAACTTTTTAGAAATGCAGGATATCAGGCTCTACTCCAGGCAGGCCAAATCAGTTTTCATTTTAGTAAGATTCCCAGGTGATTCTGTTGGTGATTGAGTGTTTCAGGGCAAGGAGCTTTGGAGTCTGATGGACCTGCGATTGAAACCTGGTTGGTACTAGCTGTGTGACCTTGGATAAATTAGTTAACCTCCCTGTGCCTCAGTTTCTTCTCTGCAGAGTAGGCAAATCCTACCTCATAGGGCTGTTGGGGAGAGTAAATGAAATATCGGCGCATTTTGCAATTGGTTTATTAAGATTTAGTAATATCTATAATGTACCAAGTACTTAGCCTGGCACAGAGCAAATAAATACTCAGTAAATGTTATTACTAATAATTAGGCAAATTTATATGAATGAAGAGCCTTTCTCTATTTCTCTTTTCTCTATCTGTCAATGAGTGCATCTGCCATTTTATAAAGCTATAGTCACCATGTGTATACTGTTTGGTGTTTGCTTAGCATTATTTAATAATAGTTGTTACAGCAGCACCAGTTAACAAATATTGTACTTTTTAATGTGCCTGGGCCTATTTTAAGTACTTTATGTATATATTCATTCAGTCTTAGAGCAACCATATGAAAAAGGTATTACTGTCTTCATTATCAGATGAGGAGACAGATCAGAAAGGTTAAGTGACTTGCCAGAGATCACACAGCCAGGAAATGGCAGCGCCAAGATTTGAATTGAGCAGCATCTGGGTTCTCTCTTCTCATGTTTGCTATTGCCCTCAAAGTTATATGGGATAATGGAAATCGGGAGACTTGGGTTGGATACCTGATTCTGCCACTAACCTATTTGTGACTTTGGTTAAGTTACTTCTTTGAGCTAGTTTTCTTACTGTAAAAATGGGGGTGGGGGATATTAGACAAGATTTATTTTATTTTTTTAAAAAAATATTTTATTGATTTTTTACAGAGAGGAAGGGAGAGGGATAGAGAAGTTAGAAACATCAATGAGAGAGAAACATCGACCAGCTGCCTCCTGCACACCTCCCACTGGGGATGTGCCCGCAACCAAGGTACATGCCCTTGACCGGAATCGAACCTGGGACCCTTGAGTCCGCAGGCCGACGCTCTATCCACTCAGCCAAACCGATTAGGGCTAGACAAGATTTATGAGGTCTCCATTGATTCATTCAGTACATGTTGATTGAAATAAAAAATTTGGTAGAAAATCGTATCTAGAAAATTGGTTCAAAAGTGTTTGTTCAAGTATGTTGGTTTGGTTAAGAAAAAGGGATTGAATCTCGGCCCAGTCACTTCCTGGCTATATGATGTTGGGCAATTTAACCTTTCTAAACATTGATTTCCTCATTAATAATGGGGAGAATAGTTTATACCTTGCAGGGATGTTGTGAAATTTGAATAAGATAATGTATATTGGCACCTAGTATATGTGGGGTACACAGTGAATGCTCAATATACATGAGTTCTCTTTCCTTCTTTCTGTTCATCCAAGGATGGTTAGAGAAGCAGATATACCAGCTACAAAAGGAGTAAGAATATATTTTGGTCCTAATGTCTTTTTTTCCGTAATGGTATTCTCATTGTTGGGAGATTAGAATTAGTAGAGAACAAAGTGTGCATATAACCAGGTCCTGTAATTTTTAAATAACCCACCCTTTAATTTTAAATTAAACTTTCTTTTGAAAATACATAGTTTATGGTAGCATAAATGCCAATTAAAAAAAAAAAAAGACGGTGTATTAGTTTCCCGGGGCTGCTATAACAAAGTACCACAAACTGGGTGGCTCAAACAACGGACAGTTATTTCTCATAGCCTTGGAAGCCTGAAGTCTGATGAAGTCAAAGTGCAGCAGGGTTGGTTCCTTCCGAGTGCTCAGAGGGTTAATCTTTTCCAGACTCTACTACTTTCTGATAGTCTCAGGCTTGTAGATGGCGCGAGCTCTCTCTGTGCTTATACATCATTGGTATGTGTCCGTCTCTGGGTTCGAATTTCCTCTTCTTATAAGAACAATTTTATATTGGGTTAGGGTCCATCCTAATGACCTCATCTTCACTTGATCATTTGTAAAGGCCCTATTTCCAAATAAAGTCATATTCACAGTATTGGGGGTTAAAACTTCATCTTTTGGGGGTTAAAACTTCATCTTTTGGTCTAATTAGACCTTTAACAGATGGCTTAGTTACTTTCTAACCTGGGGAGAAGAGCATTTATGAAATTAACTTTTGCAGGTCTCTTAAGACTTATCACTAAGATTATCCTCTTAGGTACACAGGGAGAATCCAGGTTCACCCCTTTTCCTGCTAATTCTGCACTTAAGTTTTGGCAGCATTTAAGGAAGAGAACTGAGATGGACCTGGTTTGTAGCTTGGTGGGAGATGTCTTCCTTTTATGGGCTGAATGGATTAATAAAAATAATAGTCGAGTTTTTACTATGTTCCAGGGACTATGTTAAACACTTTATATACCTTAGACCAGCGATTCTCAACCTGTGGGTCGCGACCCCTTTGGGGGTCGAACGACCCTTTCACAGGGATCACCTAAGACCATCGGAAAACACATATATAATTACATATTGTTTACAGTAGCAAAATTATAGTTATGAAGTAGCAATGAAAACAATTTTATGGTTGGGATCACCACAACATGAGGAACTGTATTAAAAGGTCGCAGCATTAGGAAGGTTGAGAACCACTGCCTTAGACCATATAATTGTTACCAAAATCCCATAAAGTAGATTTTTTTTTTTTTTAATCCTCACCCGAGAATATTTTTCCATTGATTTTTAGAGAGTGGAAGAGAGAGGAAAGACAGAGAGAAATATCGATGTGAGAGAAACATTGATTGGTTGCCTCCTGCAGGAGCCCCAACCAGGACCCTGGGCTGGGGAAGTGCCTGCAACTGAGGTATGTGCTCTTGACCGGAATTGAACCTGGACCCTTGGGTCCTCAGGCCAATGCTCTATCCACTGAGCCAAACTGGCTAGGACTAACATAGATCTTATTATCATCATTTTACAGAGGAGAAAAGTGAGGCTCAGCCATTAAAATAATTTGCCCAAGGTCACACCTAGTAAACGGTAGAGTAGGCATTCAAATCTAGCTCTGTGGGACTACAGAGCTTCAGCATTTAACCATGGTATTATACTTTCCTTTCACTTCCTTGAATAGAACTGTCTGGCCCAAGTCTCCTTCTTTTCTGTAAAAACTCCTAGTTCTGGAATTACGCCCACTGAAGGGGTCAGGGAAGTGACCTTTACTTGCATTCTTGTAAGTTCTTATTGTTTGTGAGTGGGCAAGGGAGTGTGACTTCAGTTGGCATTTTTTACCTCGTGGTTTAAGTCTTGCCAACGGGCCCTAGTCAGGTGTGGGGCATTGTGAGTTTCTTTAAAACAAAAACTACTGTTCCAGAGCTGAAGATGAAAAAGCCTAGGCTTATTACGATGACCTAACTCTATTATTATTACTACAGAATTATAGATGCTCATTCTAATAAATTTCAGCAGAACAAAGAAAAATGTTCTCTTTTCTAGTCTTTCTCCTACCTCAGCCGCACTGGTCAGAGTAACCAGTGTTCAAGGTTTAGTTTGTTTTCTTACCAAGACTTACTTTGGACCTGCCTCTTTTCCTCCTTTACTCCTTCCTGTTGGTCATGTCTCCTCTCGTCTCAAAGCCTGACCTCTCGTTATTCATTTATTTTTTCTGAAGGTGACATTCACCTACATGCCCATGAAAAGCACTCTGTATTGTGAAGGGCCATGTAGGAGAGAGAGGCTGCGATTATGTGCCAGTATAAATAAGGCCAACATTTCTTAGTGGAAGACATGGCCCTTCCCACCCTGACTCCTCACTGCATTTCTTGCCGTATACCCTGTAATCTTTTCACGGCACTTTACTCACACTCCAGGTTGTTTCTTGTCCATGAACTTTGCTCATGTTATTGCCTCTGTCTGAAAAGTCCTCTTAAACCTACTCTATTGAAAAAATGTATCCTTCCAGATGCACTCCACCTGTTTTTAATACTGACTTTTTGAGCTTTTTAAAGTAAATGAATTAGCCACTCTCTGCTTTTCCATTCCATGCATATGTAATTTATTTTGATCATACCATTTCTTTTATTTATTTTTAAAAAATATTTTTATTGATTTCAGAGAGAAAGGGAGAGGTTGAGAAAGACATAAACATCAATAATGAGAGAGAATTGCCCTACACTGGGGATGGAGCCTGCCACCTGAGCATGTGTCCTGACTGGGAATTGAACTGTGATCTCCTGGTTCATAGGTCGACACTCAATTACTGAGCCACGACTCGAGGGCCATACTATTTATTTATTTATTTAATCATCACCCAAGGATATTTTTTCATTGATTTTTAGAGAGAATGGAAGAGAGAGGGAAAGACGGAGAGAAATATTGATGTGAGAGAAACACATCAATTGGTTGCCTCCTGCATGCACCCCAATCAGGGCCTGGCCAGGGAGGAGCTTGCAACCAAGGTATGTGCCCTTGACTGGAACTGAACCTGGGACCCTTCAGTCCGCAGGCTGACACTCTGTCCACTGAGCCATACCACTTATTTTTAATGCAAATATTTTAGTATGTTTATTAAAAGATAATCCCATTATGATTATTGTTTTATGCAGACAGCATTCATTTAGATTTACCAAATATTTACCTTTTCTCATAGCATGTTCAGTCTTTCATTTGGAATCATTTTCTTTCTGCCGGAAAAACTCTTTGCTAATATTCTATAGTATAGTGTACTGGTGATAAATTCTCCTAGTTCTTTTTTATTTTTGTTGCCATACATTTGGCTTACTTTTGGCCTTTGTTTGGTATTAAGGACTTGTGCCTTTGTTAGAGTCATCCCCTTTGTTAGAGTAGGATCTTTTGCCACCTCTCCTAGTGAAATCCTACTAGTTTTTGGAGCTCAGCTCAAGTTCCCTCTTTCCCATTAATACTTTGCAAACCATAATAACCCCATGAGAACTCATTCTGCTTCTGAACTCCTAGCATTAACTGCTACCACTCATAGCCAGTTGTCCTGTAATGCCGTATTTTATTTTTTGTTGTTTAACTTCGACATATTTGCCCAATTAGATTATACTCGTGGTGCTCACAGATAATTTAGTCAGTCTTCTTTCTGCTCCTCATTTTGTCTAACACAGTGCCCTACATTTAGCAAGTATTCACCGAAAGTTGATGTGATTGATTTCCTCAGTCTTCTTTAAAGATCAGGTGCTCAGGGCCTGAAGCCTGGAGGAACATTCAACTGATGACATCATCTTGGCTGTCTGGCAGGATCGGGTGTGCCACTGAGAGGAGTGTTGGCAGATGAAATACTTGTGTAACAGGTTATGCTCCCTCTAATGAATGGGATTCAGACTCCACCTTGGGGAAGAGAGATAGTAAGTGTAGGAGGAGGGCTGACAGGGGGATGGAAGGGAGGATGCAACATCGTTAGACATAGGGATATGGCTTTATTAAAAACATAAATAAAACGATGGTGTAATGTAGAGAGAAGCTTCGTGGGACCAATAGGCTGATTAGACAAACCAGCTTCTCTGGTACAAGCCAGTTATTAATTGCCATTTATTGTCTTTGTAATAAATCTGTACCACCCAGCTACATGCTTTCTCATTAGGGTGAGTCTGGAGAAAGGGCTTGTTTTAGAATTAGTAAATCCAAAAGAGATGCAGAATAGTCAGAGTGGGGAAAGGGATGGGGATATTCCTTTCTCTCATTTGTCTTATCAGCCCTAGATTTGAGGGGTTACCAGGATCTCCTTGCATTTGCTAGTAGGGGTTGCTACTGGTGTGGTAAAAAAACCTCATTTCTACCTCTCCTACTTACTTTTGCCCCATCTGGCTTTCCTCCTTCATGGATGCCCTCCTACCACACACACTCTAGATTGGTCATTATTCCCATCTCTGTGGCCCAGGTCTGCATTGGACCACCCTGTTAGTTGCCCAGACCTTGAGTGTAATCTCTCTATCCTCCACTCTTCTGCCTTCCCCAAAGGGCAGGAAGGTAGAGAAAAGGTAATGGAGTGTGATAGTTTTAAGTCCTCTGTGGCTTAGAGGGCAGAATGTTTTGATTGCTTGATTTAGGGGTCTTGGGGCTTCCTAATATCAGGATCTATTCTTTTGTTCATAGAAAAACCTCGCAGCATTTTTTATTGATTTGCTCTGAGTAATACGTATCCGGAGAAAGAGTTGTGTTTGTTGGGGGTTAGTATCTGCCCCTGAAGGGGGAAAGATGACTCTTGGACTTGATTTCTCTGCCATCTGTTAATGGATATCTCATTATCAGAAGATGGGGATTAACAAATATAAACATAGCAAGACCATAATACATTTGTAACGATTGAACTTTGATTTTGAAAACATCCTTTTTCTCTCTCCCTCTCCTCTCTAAAATCAATAAAATCTCTAAAATTAAAAAAAGTATTATTTTTGGCTAGATGCCTCCCTACTTTTTGTGGGATGATTTTGCTGCATGCTAATCTGGAGGGAATAACAGTGCTAAATTACTTTTTTGTAGATCATTGAACATTATGATATTACTGAGACTGTCTTGGAGAGTTTTGGTCCATGGGAATAATGTGGGTTTTGGTGTCTACTTCTTCATCTTCCTTCAGATAAGTCTTCCTACATGTCCCATTATGTGGCTTTGAGAGGGATGAACAATGGGGAAAGTGAGTACACTCACTTCATTGTTCAGGTCGTTCTCTAGGTGTGGTTCTGCAGGGTTTCCTCAGAGAGCTAACTCAAGAGCTCTCTTCCATTGTGGTGGCGTTCTTGTTTTTACATGTCATACTGATGAACAACCTTGGCATTTTGAGTAGCATCATTTGGAGTTGTTAAGTTGGGACTGAAGAAAGGAAAAATATTTTCAGAGGTTCCTTGAGAGAAAGGTTCCTTGAGAAACTGGCCAAACGAAATTTCCCTAGGTGGTATGGGCTTGAGAACTAGAGAATTCTAAGCATGTATTCTTCCTTTTTGATGTCACCAGCTCCTCTGAAAAACAGTTGTTGGTCTTTCTGTTCGCCATAAGACTCTGACATCTTGAGAGCTGAGATAGCATCTCATTCCTCTTTGTGTCCCTTGTGCTTAACATAGTACCCAACTCAAAGTGTTTATAAATGTTTGTTGAGTTGAATAGTGGAGGGAAACTTTTTTTTAAATTTATTTTTTTATTATTTTTTTAATTAAATCTTTATTGTTCAGATTATTACATTTGTTCCTCTGTTTTCCCCCTATAACTCCCCTCCTCCCAGTTCCCACCCCACCCTCCGTCCTCACTCCCCACCCACTGTCCTCATCCATAGGTGAACGATTTTTGTACAGTCTCTTCCCGCATCTCCCACACCCCTTTCCCCCCCAAGAATAGACAGTCCATTCCCTTTCTATGTCCCTGATTCTATTATAATCACCAGTTCATACTGTTAATCAGATTCTTTATTCACTTGATTCTTAGATTCACTTGTTGATAGATGCGTATTTGTTGTTCATAATTTGTATCTTTACCTTTTTCTGCTTCTTCCTCTTCTTAAAGGATACCTTTCAGCATTTCATATAATACTGGTTTGGTGGTGATGAACTCCTTTAGCTTTTCCTTATCTGTGAAGCTCTTTATCTGACCTTCACTACTGAATG